TAGAGGTATGTATGATCCTATCTCGCTTCTGCTTATCGATTCAAATATGTTTGTAGATTGAATAAAGTTGTGAGATTTTACAGCCGAAGCATTGGGAACAATGAAATTTTCTTATGTATACCCAGACCCAGAGTGTCGCTCCTTATGTGCCGCTCTTGCTTCAGATTCTGGTCTCAAACTTGATTATATTCTTGCTGGATGTGGAGCTGATGAGTTAATTGACTTAATCATGAGGTTCAAATTAGAGCCCGAACCTCAATTTTTCTTCGAATTTACTTAACATATTTTCCTTTGCTATATTATATTGACTAGTAAAGACAATTGTGTGATTCTTACAATCTCCCACAGATGTGTGCTTGATCACAGTGATAGGATTGTTGACTGCCCTCCTACATTTACGATGTATGAGTTCGATGCAGCGGTAAATGGTGTTTTAGTTATTAAGGGTAAATAATTTTTTTCCACATATGTTTTGTAATTTTTTTAAATATGCTAATGTGGACACCTCACCGGAGGATGAACAACACTTCAAATCCTTGTTTCATCCAAGCTATCCATGAGTAGACAAGCAGGGGACATTAAGGTCTTCGATGTGGAGAGGATAAGTAGTTTTTTTGCTCTCCTTAGGTAAGTTTGATAGAGAGATTTGTTTGGATTTAAGGGTTGTAGAGAGATTTTTTTGGATTTAGCTAGTGAGGAGAAAGGAAATTGGATTGGGGGAGAAAAGGAGAGAACAAGAGGAGAGGGAGACATGAAGAGAAAGGGAAGGGTTTGAATATTAGCTAAGGAGGAGGGGTTTTGTTTAGTTAGTATAAAGGAGTGGAAGGGAGTTAATTTTGGAGGGTTCATTTGATTTAGCACCATTAAGCATCAATTTACAAAGTTATTAGTTTAAAACTAGGCTTGATAGAGAAGGGGATACCTTGTTTGCCGAAATGCCCATTTTAAGTCCAATCTCATTACAAAAAAATGCTACAAATCATTGAGTTAATTTTAGAGTCGCGGTGGGTATTGATGTTGATGGTTTGGTTGATAAGTTTGGCTTGTATCAAAGTTTTTTGGGTTAAAGGAACTCACTTCCCAATAGGTTTTTAAAGGTATGCTTTGGGTAATGTTTAGGACGAATATGCATAGGTACATAATATTCCTCATTAAATTTTTGAACGCTTCAATGAATATTTCTTACTAATTTGTACTTCTCATTTTAGATTTTATTTTCTAGTGATCTCATATGTAATATTATGCTTAATAATACTCTTGAAGGATGATCAACTCCTGAAAAATGGACATAAAAAGTGCTACAGTAGTCACATGAACTCCACTCACAAAAGTAATTTTTGATTATACAAGGAACTTGAAAGTGCCTCTAGATCCTCAATTTCGAAAAGTGCTTCTAAACATTATGTTTTAGCTTATTACTAAGTTTTGTTGGAGAAACTTGCTTGAAGTGTTTTAAAGGCATGTGAAGGGAAACATTTAGAGTAGATATGCTCAAGTATCTAATATCTTTCATTGAATTATCAAATGCTTACTATATGTCTGCCACTAGTTTTTACATTATTTTGCTTAGTAACATGGTAATCTATGTAAGCTCAAAGTTTACACATATACCTGGTAGAATAAGCGACTGAAGGGAAAGTAACAAGATTTATGGCCTTGGGTTTGTGTTGATTCCAACTTGAAAAGGAGAATGACCAATGATGCGATCAATAGAGTTTTATAGACAAAGTTTATTATTCGAAGGCCAAGTCCCAAGTGCTTGTCAATGAGGCACTTTAAAAGATTGGCGTTATTTAGTTTTACTAATTTAGTTTGACCATATTTAAGGGTGAAAGACGAGAATTTAAGTGATGAACTAAGAATTGTTCATAATATTTTTCAAAAATGTCCAATGAATCTTTAGTTTTTATCAAAGATTGTAAAAGAAAACATTGTATCAAAGATTGTAAAAGAAAATTTATCAAAGATTGTAAAAGAAAACATTGTACTACTTCATGAAAGATGAAATATATAACTAGAGAACTATCAGTAGTTTTTTTTTTTTTTGAATTGTGTCATAATTGAATTATTTGAAACACATATTGGTTGTATTCTAGATTGAATCATGTCCGCAATCAATCTTACAATGATTAAGATGAAATCCACATTCAAGTATTGCCAAGGCTGGTTCGGATAGAGCAGAGAAATATACAAACTTGCATATTTTTTGGTGGCCTTGATTAATTGGAGAACACATTGGTTAATGATACATGTGATATCATGTTTGATTAATGGCCAGCAAAAGCGTGCTTTGACAAAACACAACGGTTTTGTGGGGACCCAGATGTCAGGTTTGCTAGAATGGAATTTATAAATGAACAAATTACTTAATAATGTTTTGAGGAATGTATAAAAGGGACCCCTTGAAGAGATAACCATTACAATGGCAATAATTATAGGGAATGGAATGCTTATCATGTGAAAGCTCATGAAAAATAATCTGAAAGCGGAAAGATGGGTATTCTGCTTGTAATTGCTCAAAACTATGCATTAAAACTGTGATAATAGTCAAGAGGGAATGAAGTTGAGTAAATGCATTAATAGTTTTGTTGTCAATGCCAAAACGATGGTTTGGAATAGAGTATTCTTAAGGAAAGGCTTCCCATTTGATATATTGGTGTTCAACCTTTTTGGGGAATGTGATTTTTTAAGACTTTGTGATTGAATGAAGAATAAAAAGTGTTGCTTGTGATAATGGATTTGAATGTTCTCACGTGTACCTCCTATCATAAGTGGAATAGGTTTGCTTAGCTTTATTTAGTTTCTCAATATATCAGGTCATAATATGGCCCGTCTGAGATTAATTACTCAAATGTTGAGATCAAAGGCATAACAAACTGTTATTTTGACCCCCAATTATTAAACTAAGGTAAAAGGACATTTTTGTAATGTGGTATCGCTCACCTACCACATCTCACCTACCGTTCACCTACCGCTCACCTACCTCCCACCTACCACTCTCTTGCTTCTATAAATAGGGAGGGTGTGAGGCTTAGGAGAGCAAGGGAAGAGATCTTAAGCTACCACGAAGGAGGAGAGAATAGCTAGAGAGCTAGAGAGGAGGAGAGCATCTTGAGGCCTTGTATCAAGGTGTCGCTTGAGAGGGAGGTCATAGAAGGAAGATGAGGGCTCATCTCTATGTATAAGCTATGTATTCTCTATTTCTTTTGCCTTAGTGAAATATTTGATTTATTCCCTCCCGTGGACGTAGATCTAGTTGGATCGAACCACGTAAACGATTTGTGTTTGCTTGTGTTCTTTTCGTCTCATTTATATGCCAGGAAGTACATATCTCACAACAATTGGTGCCGTCTGTGGGAAGATCCATACTTCTTGGCTAGAGGTGTCCATGTAAAGGTGTTCGCGGCCAGCGACGAAGAAGAAGAGTTTGATATTCACGAACAAAGGAGCAAGCAGATCGTGTCGCAGGCAGCCGAATCGCAACAGATTCGGTGAGCAGTGGAAGCTTTGATCAACTGGATTTGCACCGCAGGTTGTGCGGTTTGGCGAGACAGGGAGGAATTCCTGATTTGTTCCGCTGGACGCAGAGGAGTGCCTGCGGGAAGGAGGCACGAGCACAGAATAGGAAGTTTTCTCCGGTGAACAGGTGTGATCTCTGTCAGAAAGGATCGGAGCTTTCCGTTCGGTTGACGAAGGCAGTGGAGTTCACGGGGACAAGGTAAGAAATTTGGTGAGAATTTCTTGGATAGCAAGGCGTTAAAACTTCTTGGAAGTGCAGCAGGTAGAATTCATTGGAATAAATCCTAGCCACGACAATGAGTTGCGTCAAATTTGACATTGAGAAATTCAATGGGAAGAACGACTTCGGCCTATGGAGAGTAAAGATGAGAGAGTAAAGATGAGAGCGGGGTGTTGCAGAGGCCTTGCAAGGGTCGGTGGCATTGTCGGCGACATGACCGAGAAGGAGAACATCGACATACTGGACAAGACCCACAGTTTGATAATCCTGAGCTTGGGCGACAAAGTTCTGAGGGAGGTGTCGAGGGAGACAATGGCCCAAGCACTTTGGGCCAAACTCAAGGTACTCTACCTGACAAAGTCTCTGGCTAATAGGCTCTTTCTGAAGCAGCGTCTATACTCCTTCAAAACAAAAT